CCAGCCTGGTCTACAGAGTGAGTTCCAGGACAGCCAGGGGTACACAGAGAAACCCTGTGTGTGGGGGGTAGACAATTGGAGCCCTGAGGCCGGAAAGTGTCACCCTAGTGTTATTTCTGTGGCTGCGACAATGTCTTCTTGATAAAAGCAACATCGGGAGGAAGGGGTTTGTCCAGCTTCCAGGTTAGTTTATTACTGGGAGGAAGTCAAAGCAGGAAACTTCAGATCCGCAGACAAGAGCAGAGAGAGAGTAAACACACAGATCCTTCCCTGCTTGCTGTCTCTGCCAGCTTTCTCCTCTTAGGCAGCTCTGGACTCCCTGCCCAGGAACAGTACTACCCACAATGCACTGGGTCTATGTCAACAATCAAGACAGCACAGGTGGTGAAGTGGGTGACTCTGCTCTGGCTCCTGAGCTTGGGGCCTGTGAGGTGGAGCAGGGTCCCAGGCCCTGCTCCCTTATAGCTTACCAACAGGCCCAAAGCTGAGTCATCCCGTGCCACCTTTCCTTGGGAAAGCCACGTGGCTAATGGGAATTGGTGTCCTCTGGCTGCTGGCAGAAACAAAACCAAATCCTCCTGGAAATCTTTCTGAAGGCTTGCAGGGTTTCCACAGCTCACATCAAGTCATGAGCTCATAAAAGGCAAAAAAGCACGCCATAGGGCCGGCCGGCCACGGTGAGCAGTCAACAGACCCAAGTCATCACACATACGGGAATCATCGGGTAACACGGCACAACCAGGTAAGAAATATTGGGGGTTAAGGCTGCATAAGCCACACAGGGATTATCAGGAAGAGCCGGCTATGAAAAGCAAACAGAAAACTTCGTAACTACAGATGACAGCAGCATTCCTGGGAAAATACACAGTGCAAGCCCATGACCTACATGTGTACAGACAGGATTTAAAGTACAACTTAAACAGCAGAGGAAACAGCCAAAAGCTAGAGAGAGAATTACTAAATGAGAAGGGGGGGGATGATTCAGACCAAGGTTCTCAGCGAGGCTATGATGTCAGTTTCAGGGGATCCGATGCCCTCTTCTGGCCTCCGTAGGTACTGCATGCATGCAGTACACAGACATACATCCAGGCAAAATACCCACACACATTAAAACAGGGGGAAAAAAAAAAGTGATGACAATAAAATGAAGATAGAAAAAATTTTACAAAATGATACTTATTTTACTTATTATTACTATCGATATCATCATCATCATTTTTGGTGTACTGGGGGTGGAAGCTAGGGCCTGCCTCATGCTTGCCAGACAAGGGTTCTTCTATCACACAGCTATAGCTCCAGGCTTAGCCTTTCATCTAGAACATAAAGAACTCCTGAAACTCAGTAGTAAGGAGCACAACCCAGCTGGAAAGTGCCTACGGAGCCAGTAAACATGAAAAGCTTCTCAGTGCCGGGTGGTGGTGGCACACACCTTTAATCCCAGCACTCTGGAGACAGAGGCAGGCGGTAAGTTCAGGGGCCAGCCTGATCTACAGAGCTAGTTCCAGGACAGCCAGGGCCACACAGAAAAACCCCATCTTCAAAACAAAACAAGAGCTTCTCAGGACAATGAAGCCCCAGAGGAGGGCAAATCCAAACCACAAGCCGCCCTTCGGTCCACCAGCACGGCTCTAAGACATCAACAAGCATCGATTTGAGTATGGAGAACCGGAGTTCTTCATACACTTGCTGGGAGGAGGACCGTGAGTTCAAGGCTAGCCTGGATTAATTGCTGAGACCCTGTCTCAGAGATCCAAGGCCTGGGGATGTAGCGCCATGTCAGAGCACTTGTCTAGCATGCACGAAGCCCCGGGTCTCCACATTGAAATAAAGGTGTGGTGGGGCTGGAGAGATGGTGAGTGGTTAAGAGCACTGGCTGCCATTGCAGAGGCCTGGGGTTCAATACCCAACATCTACACGGAGACTCACAACCATCTGTAACTCTAGTTCCAGATGATCTGACACCCTCTTCTGGCCTCCACAGACACCAGGCACAGTGGTGCACAGACATGCATGCATGCAGGTAAAACACCCATACACAGAAAAATAATGAAGCCTTTCTCCCCCACCCCTCCAGACAGGGTTTCTCTGTGTAGCTCCCTGTCCTAGAACTTGCTCTGTAGACCAGGGTGGTCACAAACTTAGAGATCCACCTGCCTCTGCCTCCCATGTGCTGGAGTTAAAGGTGTACACCATCACAGCCCAGCTTCAAAACAACTAAGTTTTTAGAGAGAAAGAAAAAAGGGTGAGGAGTAAGAAAGAGAACCCAGCCAGCAATGTGCTTGCTATGGAAGCCTGAGGACGTGCAGTATATCCCCAGCCTACATAAAAAGCTGGGGCATTGCAGTGCATGCTTGTGATCCCAGAGTCTGGGACATGGAGACAGGATCCCCGAGTTCACTAAGTCAGCCTAGTCTCATCAGCAAGCTCCAAATCCTAAAGACCTTGCCCTCAAAACCAAAGGTGGTGGGTGCTTCCCATGGTACCTTTCCCACTCTCCTGAGTTCTCACTTCTCCTTAATAAGTATTAATGAAGCTGTGCTTACTCTGCTCAAAAACGAGAAAGAAAAAAAAAAAGGTAGAGTGACAGTGGGAAGATACTAAAGTCAACCCAGGGCCTCTGCATGTGCACAAGTGGGTGAGTACATCCTCAAGCCACAGGCACACAACACATACACACACACACACACACACACACACACACTCTTCTACTGAGGACTATGGTCAGTGGGTAAAGCACCTGCCGTGCAAGTGTGAGGACCAGAGTTTGGATCCCCAGAACTCACACAACATGCATCTACAATCCCAGGACTCAAGGGCTGGAGAGGTGGCTCAGTGGCTAAGTGTACTTACTGCTCTTTGCAGAGGACCTGGGTTCGATTCCCAGCATCCATACCAGATGGGAACATGCATATAAACACATAAATAAAAAAGAATAAGGGGTTGGGGATTTAGCTCAGTGGTAGAGAGCTTGCTAGGCAAAACGCAAGGCCCTGGGTTCGGTCTTCAGCTCCAGCAAAAAATAAATAATAAATAAATAAATAAATAAAAGCTTAAAAAAAAAACAGCACGCCTACACCAAGATGGAAGGTGGAGACAGGAGACTACTAGAAGCACAAGTGACCCCATCTCAAACAAGACAGAGGATGAGGACGGATGCCCAAGCCTCCACACCCACGCCATGGGACACACGCACCCGCACTAACACTGAAACACTTGCATACACAGAGATAAAGTTCTACTGATCTCATTCATAACATGGGCAAATTAGTGGGAAAACATCGCATCTTTTCAAAAGATTCGGATAAACAATTTGGGAAAAATTCAATGCCAATTTTTAATAAAATCCCTAAGGATACAGGCTTGAGACACAGTTCAGTGACAGAGTGATGGCCTAGTACCCAAGAGGTGCTGAGGTCAAACAAAACCAACCCTAGGTAGAAATAGAATGAGACAGAGAAAACATTACTGCTGGAAGGGAAGAGGGAAGCATCCATTTGCAACCAGGCATGCTGGGATGCACCTGTAATCTTAATATTTGGGAGGTGGAAGTGGGCAGATTAAGAGTTCGAGGTCAGCCTGGGGCTCCATGAAACCCCATCTCAAAAGAAACTAAGAAAAAAATAAATAGATGGAAGCAAGCCATAAACAGAAAGCCTAGAAAGACAGATTTGGGGGGAGGGTTTGGGGAGGTAGGGTCTTGTCATGTAGTTCTAGCTGACTAGGAACTCACTGTGTAAACCAAGCTGACATCAAACTTGCAGCAATCCTCCTATCTCGGCCTCCAAAAGTGCTTAAGATTGCAAGCGTGACATCACCAGTTCCGAGGAGCTGAGTTTTTCTTTTAATTTTTTTTTTGAAGATTTATTTTCTTATGTGTATGAGTGTTCTGCCTGCGTGCATGTATATATGTGTGCACATGTGTATACAGTGACTGCAGAGGGTAGAAGGGGGTCAGAGTTTCTAGAACTGGAGTTATGGATGGAGTCAGGACCACCATGTGGACAACGGGGACCAAACCTGAGTCTTCCGCAAGAACAAGTGTTCTGAGCCAGGCAGCGCTGGTGCACATATTTACTCCCAATGCTCAGGAGGAAGAGGCAGGTGTGAGTTTTAGGCCAGCCTGGTCTACAGAGCAAGATCCAGGACAGCCAAGGCGACACAGAGAAACCCTGTCTCAACCCCTTCAGATATGAAGCTGAACATTCATATCACTTTTCGGCATTTTGGCTACAACACTGAACACTCAGGGCTGGAGACAGACGCAGTGATTAAGAGCACTGGCTGTTCTTCTAGAGGACCACGTTCAGTTCCCAGCACCGACACGGTGGCTCCCAACTCAAGTACAGCAGGGGATCTAATGCCCTCTTCTGGCCTCTGTGGACACTATCCATGTGGTACATAGACACACAATCAGTGTAAACCAACCAGCCAACAAAGTGTTGAGTCATGTTTTCAAATACTAGATATGGTCATTTAAGGTAATAGTTCCAACTTATAAAATTTTACCGTATCGAATTGTTTCTTTCCAAAAATTGTGTTTTATTTGATATACTTTGGTTACGTTCATTAAATAATGGCTCTCGCCCTCTGTGTTCTCTCCTGCCCCCGCTATCTCTAGCTCCCTCTTTCTCTGCTCTCTGCATGTGCTTCTTCCCCAGGCCTGGTTCCTTTGTCCCCCATCTTCCTCCTAATAAAGCTCTGGGGAAAAAAAAAAAAAAAACTCTCTAAAGAACCTCGAACCAGCTTCAGCTCCTGGGCAGCTATAGTATGGGGTCTGTGCCCTCCTCCACAAACAATGCTGCTTCCACACTAATAAACCCCAACTGGTTTGAGATGGAGCCTAGAGACGGGGACCACAAAAACTTCAACCACAAGCCTCCTCCTATGACTGGGCTTCTGGATCCCTCTTTCCTCCTTATTCTTATGTTTGTACCCTGTGTCTTAAATGTTTTATTTACTAAACTTCGCCCTATACCCAAACAAAATGCTCCGCATGAGTTCTCCAAATAGTTCTCACCCTACAAACAGCTCCACTGGACCCAAAACATCTGCAAAAAGGCCTCTTAGACGCCATGGAGACACTCATCCCTTCAACCCCAGCCAGACATCCGTCCTGTTTTCCCCTGCCCCCTTTGACGCTCCGAAGCTCCCTGCTCCTACTTTAGTGCGACAGTCTTGGCAATGGGACCAGTCACTGTCACCTTGAATCAACTCTATGCCCACTTTCTCTCACAGACCCACTCCATCTCCCTCCCCAGCTCCCCCTCCCCCAACTTTCCTAGAAAATCTCTCCATCCTACACTGTAACCAAACCATCTGCTTACAGCCCTCTAATAATTATTTTCCAAGTCTTTTCAGGAATACAGGACAACTGCCCAACCCATTGAAGCTGACGATCAAGTTTTCCTGCTGCCACATGCCCAAAGGACCCTTCTTTCTCTTCCATGGATCCCCTCTGACAAATTGTCCCTCCTCAGCAGAAAACAACTATAACATCCCTGCCCTTCTTTTATTATTCCTTTTAATTTTTAATTTTTTTTTTTTTTTTTTAAAGACAGGGTCTCACTTTGTAGCACTGGCTGTCCTGGATCTCGCTCTGTAGACCAGGCTGGCCTCAAACTCACAAGAGATCTGCCTGTCTTTGCCTCTCAAGTACTGGGATTAAAGGCGTGTGCCACCACTGTCTGGCCAACATTTTTTATATCCTCTCAGAGTTAGGAACAATAGTTTCCTGCTGAAAAGACTATATTTCCCAGCTTCCCGTGAGGACTGCTAAAGTCATTTTCATGACTCCATGAGGGGCCACATCCCATCTTCTGGAGGCATTTTGGCTATCTACACATGAGGTGACAAAGATGCCCTCTAGCCGTGAATAAACATGACTCTGCCTAAGACCAGACCAAGTCTCTCTCTCCCCTCTCTATGGGTACCCTTCGAAATCTAACAACAGCAAGCATCTACTCACCTATGGACTTAGATGCATAGATCTAAGGCTGTAATATAGAGCTCAGTGGTAGAGCGCTTGCCTACTTTGTGCAAAGCCCTGGATTTGATCCTTATCACCACCACCACCACCACACCAGGCTAAGTGACAGTCAGTGCCAAGATCCACACAGAAACGTGAGCATATGGACACATACAACTGGACTCACACCAGAAACATGAGCATATGGACACATACAACTGGACTCACACCAGAAACATGAGCATATGGACACATACAACTGGACTCACACAGGATTCACATAGTTCTCACAAGAGCCTTGACCCCTCCTCTCCCCAGGGGAGGACGTTCCTATGGTGTATTGGACCAGTGCAGAACTACAAGTCTTTATGGACAACCAGAAACTGATGGGTCAGGGCTGGAGAGATGGCTCTGAGGTTAAGAGCACCGACTCTTCTTCCAAAGGACCCGGGTTCAATTCCCAGCACCCACATGGCAACTCTCAACCTGTCTGTAACTCCAGTTCCAGGGGATCTGACCTTCTCACACAGACATACATGCAGGCAAAACACTAATGTTCATAAAATAAAAAATAAAATAAGAAACTGATGGGTCCCCCATAGGACAGCCCCTCTACCCGTGCTCCCCAGACACTGACGACTCCTCACTTACCTGACTCCCGAGTTATAATTTTCCGTGGGATCAGCTTCCTGATCTAGACAAAAAAGAAATATGAGAATCCAAGGACAAGTCCCAAAACTTCTAGGTCCAGCCTCATTTAGGGGTGACCCTCTGAGTTCAAGGAGTTCCATAATGTCTGTTGCTCTATTTTTTTTCTTTTGTTTGTGTGTGTGTATAATGTGTGCATTATTGTGTAGGCAAGAGGTTGATATAGGGAATCTTGATCCCTCTTCTACTTAATCATATCCATTCCCCCATCCCCACCCCCCACCCGCCAAACAGGGTTTCTCTGTGTCACTCTGGCTGTCCTGGAACTCTGTAGACCAGGCTGGCCTGGAGATTTGCCTGTCTCTGTCTCCCATGCACTGGGATTAAAGATGTGTGTGACCACCACAACCCACAAAAAAAAGAGAGAAAGAAAAAAAAAAGATGTGTGTGTCTAATTTTTTAAATATTTATTTATTACATAATTATGTATATAGTATTCTGCCTACATGTGTGCCTACATGCCAGAAGAGGACGCCAGATGTCATTATAGATGGTTGGGAGTCACCATGTGGTTGTTGGGAATTGAACTCAGGACTTTCGGAAGAGCAGCCAGTGCTCTTAACCTCTAAGCCATCTCTCCAACCCTCTGCCTAATTCTTTAGGGTAGAGTCTCCCAATCAAATGCAGAGCTCACCAATATGGTTTGCTCTGCCTTACTACCTTCCTGAAACTGGAAACACAGAGGTGCTGCCATGCCCATTTGCCGTTTCCATGGATTCTGGGCGATCTGAACAAACACTTAAGCCTGAGCCACATCTCTTCAGCTTATCCCTAGATGTTTTTAGAGAGTTCTGCGTCCCTTTATCTAGTGATCCAGCAAATGCCATGATCCCCGACTTTAAATCTTTTTTTGTTTGGTTTTGAGACAGAGTTTCCCTGTGTAGTTTTGGTGCCTGTCCTGGATCTCGCTCTGTAGACCAGGCTGGCCTCGAACTCACAGAGATTCGCCTGGCTCTGCCTCCTGAGTGTCGGAATTAAATGCATGTGCCACCGCCGCCTGGCCTTTTTCCTATTTTTTTTTTTTTAAACAGATCCTGCCTCAAGTTTATTTGTAAAAACAGCATGGGGTCCTGATCATCTGCAAATAGTGTGTAGGTGTGTCACACCAGTCCATCTGTCTGGCAGACAGAAACCTTTTCTATGGGGCCTTCACAGGGGCTGGGCACCTTTGGAAGCCTCTGCCTTGGTTTGAGCCTTGGGCTTTGGTTGGCAGAGCCTACGACCCTTGGCCATGTAGCTCCTAATCCACTTCCCGAGCTTGGGGTGAGCGATGAAAGCGAGATGGCTGAGCTTGCGGCTGGGGGCCCTTTGGCATCTTGGGCTTCACTGCCTTGGGCTTCACCAGGGCCTTGATGGCCTCTGCACACGCACTCACTGCCTTTGCATTGCTGGCCCGCATCTTCTTCAGGCCTTTCTTGTTGTGCTTCTTGGCAAAGCGCATGTTCCTCAGGAACTTGGGGTCCACCCCCTTAAGAGATTCGCATCTTTGTGACTGGGGTTTCTTGATACCATTTCTGTGCCATTTTCAAGATTGGTTGTGTGTGGTGTGGTTCTTGGACTTGGCCATGTCGGAACGGTAACCCGCGGCTCCTTTTTCCTATTTTTTGAGTCAGGGTTTCTCTGTGTAGCCCTGGCTGTCCTGAACTTGCTCTGTAGACCAGGCTGGCCTCATACTCAGGGGTCCGCTTGTCTCTGCCTCCCCAATGCTGGGACTAAAGGGGTGCACCACCATACCCTGTTTCCTGATTTTTTTAAAAACTAGCCTTCTCTCTGTCCTGCCAGCGTCTGGTTCATACTCACCGGGGGTGGTGGTAGTACAAAGTTGTCTGGAAACACCCCTCGTCGGCCTTGGCACTCTCCTTCCCACCAGCCCTTATCCGCTGTTGTCTGGTTGAGAAACAAGCCAGTAGGGAGATGAGCCTCATTCAAGTCCCTCTGGCCTGGGTCCCCCTCCTTACCCTTCTGTACGCCCCAATCCTCTCACACCTTTCTCAGAACTTTCACCAGGTCCCCCTTGTGCAGCGCCAACTCATCCGGGGCCTCAGGCTGGTAGTCAAACAGGACCCTGCAGGTCTCAGGGCAGGAGACTGAGGGAAGGACATTCTACTGTGGAACCTCCCCCATCAACCAGGGGCTCCCTCCAACTACCTACCTGATTCCCCGCCCACAAGGCAGGGTGTGGCCTGGCACTGTGGGAGGGACTCTGGCGAGACGCTCACCTGTCCGCAGGTAGTCTGGAGGGCTGTCATAGGTCAAGTTGCTCAGCTAGGAGAGGCAGAACAAAGGAGGACTGAGATGAGCCTGGAGCCATTTTTAGAACTCACTGGCTGTGTCCACCCTGACCCACTTTACCTTAGGAGGCCTCGGTGGATTAGGAATGATTGAAGGCATGTCTGTGTTTCCAAGGCCTGGAGAGGGACAATGAGGTTAGGGAGGTGCTAATATTTAGCTAGGTCCCCGGGAGGGAGAGGGCCAAAGGGGTCAGCAGGGTCAGGAAGGTCACTGGGAAGATCACTGAAGATTGCAGAGTCTGGTCCCAGGGTATCACAGGGTCACGGTCTCACTTGGGGGCCCACTGTCCAGCAATTCCACAAAGTTGGATGGGAAGGCTCCCAACTGCCCGTTCTTCTTCCCCAGCCACCAGCCGTCCTCAATCTGGGGAGGGGGGAAGGATGTGGGAGCATCTGGTTCTGTCCAAGAGTCACCGAAAGGATCATCTTCTCCCCAGCTGCCTCCCTTCCCAACGCCCCCACCCTCACTTCAGTCTCCTCTGTTTGTGAAGAGCTCTAGCATTTCTGCAGGTCCTCTCACCGTCGCATCCCCTCACCTCCTTTATCACTTCCACAATCTCCCCAATTTGAAGCTTCAGCTCGTCTGCCTGCTCTGGATTGTAGTTGAAGTTCACTTTGCACCATCTTTGGGGGCCCCGAGAGTTGACGGATTGACCTAGGCCAGACAAGCAGGGGAGCAGCTGGAGCAGGTGGCCCTGTCCACTGGGGAAGGGGCGGGCTTCCCGAGCACGCCCTTTAGTAGCTTCAAGCCCCGCCCTTTAGCGGCCGGAGCATTGTACTTGGGGCCAATCAGGGGGCTGCCTAGTAGCTCCGCGGCCCCTCCCACAGTCGTCACGCTTCACGCGGGCAGTGATCCCCCCCCGCCCCACCTACCAGCCCAAGCCCGACTCACCGCGGCGGCGCGCATAGCGCGGTCTGGGCTCAGTGATGCCCCGCAGGGCCTCGGGAATCTCCTGGGAAGATCGCGTGGGGGCGGCATTCAGCGGGAGGCCCGGCGCTGGACCGGGCCCGCTCCCCGCTCGGCCTCACCCGCACCAGGCCTCACCTGCACCAGACTCTTGGGAAAGACACCGCGGTGGCCCCGCAGCTCCCCATGCAGCCAGCCCCGGGCAGCCCCTGCGCGAACCTGCCGGACCACGTCCCCCGGCGTCAGGCTCAGCTCGTCCTGCGTCTGCGCACGGTATCTGGCCAGGACCAGGACCTCTGCAGGCGGAGGGCTGGCTTAAGAAAGGCTGGGGGAACGCCCCGGGACTTTCAGAAGAGCCACCCCGAGACCCGCACACATACCCATGACTTCTGGGGACCCCTGCACAGCCTCTGAGGCTGGCGGTCGAGTATTGGGAGCTCGGAGGGCGCGCCGCGCCGCCAGGCTGTAGACTGGATGAGGCGGGGACTCAAGTCATAGGTCAGGATCCAGGTGCTAGGAGTGGGCGGCCTGGCTCAGCAGGTTGGGCCTCAGTTCAGAACGAGTCGTCGTCCAGGGTCTCAGCCCAGTGCAAGGTTAACAACTCCTCCTAAGGGCTCTTCCGCGACTACTAAATTCTACTTTGGCCAAGTCTCCCAACCTAGGCCAGTCTTTTATACATTTCCTGGCCCACCCTCTACTGGCTTGCACGTTCTTAGCTGCAGGGGAAGGTGGGGATAGGTACATACCAGGGCGGGGCTATTCCAGAGAAAGCGCTCCAGAAGTAGAAAGTGGTAGCTCCGTCTCTGAAAAGCTATGGCCGGTATATTCCAAACTTCAGAACCCCACTGGTGGAGCTTTTATTTGAGGCCTGGTTGGGTTTCTGACAATTGTTACAGATTCTCCTTTAGCGAAGGCAGGAAGAACCAAGTATAGTCAAGCCCAGGGCTGGCAAGAGTCTGAAGGTGAGGGCCCAGGCTCACCTGTAAATAATCTCCCCGCTGGGTGAATATACAGCGGCCACGTGGTGACTGCAACCTTGACCCCTGCCTCAACAGGAAGGAAGCCAAAGTCCTTGCTCCTTGCACTACAGGGAAGTTTGGTTCTTGGCTATTAAAAGCAGAGAATGCAGGGACTCCACTGAGAACAAGCGCATCTCCCCGGGAAAGAAGAGCAGACTGTAGGTTTCCTGAAACTCGTGTGGGAGGTCCCTACCACCCCAGGGCGGCTCATGCAGGCGTGAGGACGACAACGAACACAGTCCATCCACATCGGTCACTTCGTTTATTGTTTTTATTTGCAGGAGGAGTTGAAACAAAAACTTAAGGGTGTTTTTCTTTTCTTCCCTAAACATGAATCATTCAAGTAAAACCAACTTAACTATAGAAATTAGCAAAGTAAGGGGAAGTAGTAACAACCCACGAGCAAAGGCTGGGGGAAGAGGAGTCGCAGTCGGCATAGACCCCGTGCACAGAGACCATATGCACAGAGACCACGTGCACAGAGACCACGTGCACAGAGACCACGTGCACACAGACCGTATGCTGTGTTCACCTGCTCGGGACCGCCTCCCCGGAAGGCAAGCACAAGGACCCTTTTATGAGGATGTTCCCCCCCAAACATCTGAAAGTGTTTCAACTCAAAACTTAAGGTTAAAACAAACAAACAAACCAAAAACACACAACCCCACAAACCACCCAGCCATAACCACCATCCTTAATCGATCATAGGAGTTTCTTTTCATTTTATAAAAAGATCAATAAAAAATATTGAAAAAATTCTTTTCTCATCTTATATTTGTAAAGATAATAGAATTCAGAAGTTTCTTAGAAAACAGACCAGAAACTGCCCTCCAGTTCCCTCCCTTTGCTGAGGACCAGCAGGACTACAAAGTGGAGGATAGTGGCTGCTGGTGGACAATGGGAGCCCAGCCCAGGAGAAACCAGACAAGAGCAGGGTGCAAGGGGAGGCTGGGAGCAACTCCACGTGACACACGGCTGTGCAGAAGGGGACGCAGGGTGGTCAGAAAGGCCTTAAACTCCTCCGTGACATACAAAACCGGTTTCTACAAAGATCCAAGCAGTTTGGTCCCAAACTGAGGCAAACACTTCAATGTTTATTCACATGCTTTGTTTTCTCTTAAGAATCAAAGTTGCCCAAATTAAATCTTTCTGCTAATATCACTACATATGCCTTAAAAAGAAAGAAAAAAAAAAGGAAAGAAAAAATATAAAGGATTTTTAAAAATCAGGACAGGAAAAGACTGAAAACCAAGTTCATCCTCTTAGCTCCAAATGAAATGAAATTAAGAAAACTTGGTTTCTAATAGGGAAAAAACAAAACAAAAAACCCAAATCCAAGCATCAGCATCATTCTCCCTACCCTGCCCCCACCCCACACACCAACAACAAACAAGAAACGGCAGGAGCCCACTGTATTGTGGGTCACTCAAAACATGGGCCTGATCCTAGGCTGTGGCCAGTATCCTCTGTCCAGTGGGACATCATCAGGGATGTGTACTCTGCTGTCGTAGGGTTCTGTGTGGCTGGTGGGTTGTGGGGTGGATTTGCAGGATCTTCTGGAGGTTCCCTGTTTAACACCACCAGCCTCTCCCAGCGCCTTTCTCCCCTGGGCAAGGGCTCCGTCGAGAGTGGCCCCTACTCAGCTGTGGGCTGTAAACTGTCCTTTTCTTCTCTGTTCTCTGTCCCACTCTCGTCATCTTCAATCTCTCCTTCCTCCCCACTGAACTTGTCGTGGGCCCACTTGGGGCTGGTGCTGGATTTTCGGAACATGAACCGACCCCGACCCCGGGGGAAGGCTCCTCGGCCACGGCCACGGCTCACCCACTTGTCACTGCCTTCACCTTCCCGGTCGTCATGCTGCGAGGAAAGAGACGCCATCAGTGCCACTGCTCCTGTACCCATCCACAGGCCAGAGCCTGTGCCCAGCCTCCTTTTCCGCCCTTCGCCCACTCTCCTACTCCAGAACTGCCACTCAGATCCAAGAGCCCCACAGGGTACCTAAGGAACTCTAAGGCAATAGTGTGGACATTACAACCAAGTGTTAAGAGTAATAGAAAACCTTAACAAAGCATTGAGACAGAGGTGTCAGCTCACTGAACTCTCCTGTCCATCCCGCCACTATCAATATTATGTATTTGAAACTATTGTTTAGAACACTTTCTCTGCTTTTTAAAAATAATTTACTATTTTAAATTTTATATGCATCAACCAGTGTTTTAAGCCTGCATGTATGTCTGTGTGTCAGTCAGATCCACTGGAACTGGAGTTACAAACAGCTGTGAGCTGCCATGTGGGTGCTGGGAATTGAACCCAGATCCTCTGGAAGAGCAGCCAGTGTTCATTCGTGGTCCGTCCCCCCCCCCCCCCCCGCGGTTTTTCCAGACAGGGTTTCTCCATGTAGTCTTGGTGCCTGTCCTGGATCTCGCTCTGTAGACCAAGCTGGCCTCGAACTCACAGAGATCCACCTGGCCCTGCCTCCAGAGTGCTGGGATTAAAGGTGTGCGCCACCACCGCCCAGCCAGTGTTCTGACGTCTTGGGGGAAAGTGGAGCAGCTTCTGTCTCACGCTTAGACTCTAATCACTCCACAGTCTCAGCAGTCCACTACAGAAGCCATTCTAAGCCAGTCTTAGGCTCCTGGAGGTCAGTTCAGCTGACTGCCAGCTGCACCTGTGCAAGGCTGCAGTGCCACAAGGACCACATCAGCTTGGCAATGCTCCCTCCCTCCAGTGGCAAACAGAAGCAGGGAAGGGCCTTTCCTTTCACAGTAATCCTATTCAGGCCCTCTAGAAGCTTCAAACTGGCTTCCAACAATTAGGCACAACCCCCAGGAATTACATGGGCTTGGATACAGGCCTGCTGAATCACACCAAGGCCAACAGAGTTACTGACTAGGCAACAGCCCAGCATGGGAACGATCTACAACTCAGGTAAGAGAAAAAAACCTCAGCGGCATTTCATTATGGTAACAGAACTTTCTTTCCTCCAACAGTTCTAGAGCTGTTTTTCCTGTCAATCTAGTAGTAAAGGTTGACAAGAGGCTGGCAGTGAGTGAGGAGTCAAAGTTCACAGGACAAGAAAGGCAACGTTAGTATTTCTTGTTTCTTCTGGAATCCAAATACAGCTCTGAAGATAAACTGACTTATCCCTCCAGGGAAGAGCCATCTAGCTAGCACTATGCTAACACATGCCGAGTGCTCTAAGCCTGTACACAAATTTAACACGGCCAGACAGACCAAGTAAAGCCTTCAAATCAGCTCCTGTGTGCCCAAGGCTCTCTTGGCCCTTCCTGGTTAGTCCCAGACACATACCAAGTAGTACTTCTTGCTTTTGGGTGTGTACTCTGGATCCCATTCCTCTTCCCGGTTTCTCTTTTGAAAATCATTGTTGCTGTCGTTGTTATTGTTACCAGAATAGTTTCCTCTGCCCCAACCTCTCCCTCTTGCTCGAAATTGCTGTAGAAATAAAGGAAGCAAAAGGAACAAGTCCATGTCAGCAGCAGAAAATCCCCTGCCTTCTGTTCAAACAGTTCAACTAGTTTCTACCCATTTCTTTCCTAGACAGTTCAGGGGGAAACATACACATGGCCAGAGAGAGGGCCTTCCTTCAAGCCAGATCAAGGTAATGGGGGAAAGTTCTGGGATGGGAAGCTATAAAAGGCTTGGGAGTGATTATAAAAAAGCAACAAGTGAACACAGAAGCTTAGGGAGCCAAAGAATCGACAACTGGCTTGCTTAGCCTAGAGGCAAAAGAACTGATACCCTACTGATGCTCAGTCAGGACTAGAAGGAGCCAGAGGCTTAGAGAAAGAGGGAGGGAGGCCCTTACAAAGGTTCCCCGAGCTCTGCCGCCTCTTTCATTTGGACCCACGAAGTCTTTGGTCCCCAGTCTGGATTTGTCAAAACCTGTGGTGCTCTCCTCCCTCTCCTCAGCTTCCTCGGGGTACTCTTCTGCTTTGTAGGAGTGAGACGACTGGGAAGAGGAAGAAGAGGACCTAGACCGGTCTCTTGCTCTGCGGTGCTTCCTACATGGAGAAGAAGGAGGAGGAAATCAAGACTGGTCCTGGCAGCCCCACAAACTACCAAGCAACTAGGTTACCACCAACCAACCTCTTCACCCCAACCCAACCAGCAGACCTGGGGCTTCCTCCTGGTTTTGTGAGTCATCTTCAGTGACATATCTGTTTCTAAGCTTGCCATTGAGTATGTAGCAAACAGAAAGAACATGAGACACCCATGGCCTTCAGTATCATCAGTCTAACACGTGACCCAACAGAGAAGGCAAGTAGGTCTGTGGGCGTCACACTGGCCGGTTCTGACACTGCAGCAAACCCCTTCCTTCTGTTAGTGTGCTCTAACTCCTGGGACTCAAAAGAAATGCTGTTTTGCAGACAAGTGCAAGGGGGCGGGAGGCACTCTAAGATGAAATAAAATGTCCAAACACCTTACTAGTAAAACAAGTATTCAACGGTGACCAAAGAATTCCACATTACTCAGTTTACAGGTGATAAGAGCTGAGCAGAGTCTGGACTCAAAGCCAGTCCTAATTAGCCCACTAACTCTACACCACACCTCCTACTGAGCTGAAACAGGTTGTACTGTTAAGTCTAGAATGTGCAGCAACTCTTCCTGGAGTCGGATCTCTTCCTTTCCCTTCATCTGAGGGAAATTACAGACTAGACACATAGATTACTAAGATGACTCATTGTCTACACTACAGGTTGGTGCTGGTCCTACTAGAGGTAACAGAGGAGGTTCCTAAATGACCCTGAGGTGTCCGGAGGTCTCCCTTTACTGACAGCACTTCAGGGCTGTTATCAAGAGCACTTGTTTCACTCTCCACACCCACACGACAGCTCACAACCACCTGTAACTCTAGTCCTGGGAACCAATGCCCTCTCTTGGCCTCCTTGGGCATCAGGGGCACACATGGTACACAGACATATGAGAAAACATTCAAACACATTAAAAAAAAAAAAAAATCACTCTGCCCGTTTTGTTTTGGTATCTACTTAGGAAAACTCCACATTGTTGTACTTTTCATAATCAGAAAGTGAAAATCTAACCACTCTATTACTCAGTGCTATTGCAGAAGTTTTCAGAAATAACACTCTCAAGGGGTTTCAACTCAAGCCAGGCAGTTGTGGTGCACACCTTTAATTCCAGCAATCGGCTGGGCTCTGCCTCGAGAGTACAGGGATTAAAGGTGTGCACCACCACCGCCGGCCCTGAGGTGCTTTTTACAAATGAAGAACAGAGAAATAGCTTGAGGTCTCTGTTCCTGGGAGTGCACCTGACACCTCAGTCATTTAGTAACCTTCTCTACTACCTCTGGTAGGGCTGGCACTGACCTCTAGAAACCTGCTCTAAGGAACTTTTTGAAGTTACATTGCAACTCAGGGGTGGGCATATTTCAGAAATATCAGATTTACTCAATTCTAAGGTACGTGTAGGGATTCACCCCCTTTCCACCAGTGGCAATGTAGTACACACTTATAAACCCAACACTTGGGAGATGGAAGATGATCAGGAATTCAAGATCATCCTTAGCTGCTGTAGAGTGAGTAAACCAGCCTGAGACATAGCCTGCCAGCTCAAGTTCAGAACAGCAGAAATGTTGCTTTTTCAGACAGTGAAAGCTATAACTCGGCTCCATGTAAGGAAAGGAGACTGAAACCAAAGAACCTTCCACAATGTGTGTGCCAAGGCTGGTGCAGCTCAGCTGGAATGCACTTGCCTATCATGTGCAAGGCGCCCAGGGTTCTCTCAAGCACCCCACCCCCCCAAAAAGGGCGCAAATAAAAAACGTCATGGCATTGGCATGTTATGTTGTCCTATATAATTTAACAATGCCTGCTTTGTTTAAGAAATATTTGGAACACCACTTTTGAACTGTCTGTGAAACACCAACAATCCTGTCCTATCTAGTTTCAACTGATTCTTTAACCAGTATTTTTATTCTAATGTGTTAGATGTAACAGTATTTTATTCTAATTTTTATTCTAACAATGACTTTCTAAACTCTAAGCACACTGAGAAAATGTTCAACGAGAAATAACATGGCCAAAAGACCTGTCGAACAAACTTGCCAATTGACTCTCCACAAATCCTTGCAGGCATTCATTTCTTGCACAAAGCCTTCTTTGGACAAAGATAACCTTACTAACCTTACTTAGATATGTAAGTTTTATTTTCTTTGTCTTGACAGGGTTTCTGTGTAGC